GTTTCAGCGGCAGACAATTTCAAGCCTTTTTGTTGCAAAAATCCCCACTGTGGGTTGGTTGATAAGGATGAAGTCACAACTCATGTTTTCGATGTTTACCTTGCAGAACAAGCAATTCACATCGCATTGAAATGCAAAACACTTCAAATCCATCGGTTTTGGACAGTAGTACAATTTAGTATGCACTTATATTGGCAGAGAAAGATTATCAACAATTAAAAGTTTCAAACACTAGAAATCAACGTGTGTAACACATTGAACCATGGTGAAGTACATTTAAAATAAATGTGATTGCGCATATGAAGAATCAAGATAAAATTGCGCTGAGTGACTACACTCGCCCACAAAAATAATAGTTCTAATTTTCTACGGGCCAACGCCTAGATTATTGCCATTAGGTGAGAAAACCACTCTGTGAAAATTTCAGCTCATTCGGATGTAACACGAGCTGGCGCTTTTAGTTTAAATTTTGTGTGGGGAATTTGGTTAAAATACATGCAAAAATGAAACTCCTACACTCTATCGATCATAAAAAAGTTTCCTTATTCTCGATTTGATTCAGATTTTCAAAACTTGTAGTTCAGTTTATGAGTAACAACTTTGCAGAAAATTGCAGCATGAATCCAGTTAGTTTTATTGATATATACGCATTTGAATGTACATGTATATGAAAATTTTAACCGAATCTCCTATATGAACATTAAACCAAAAGCGCAAGCCTGTGTAGCGTCAAAAAGAGCTGAAACATTCAAAGAGTGCTTATATCACCTACTAACAACGAGTCTAGACGTTGGCCCGTTGAAAAAAATGATAAAAAATTTCCCCCATATAAATGTGAGCAACCTACATGGTGTCTCAGAATAGATGTCACTGAACTCAAAAGAAAACAAATTTCAACCTTCATCGAAAAACTATCAAATATTTACAACTATAGTCGAACTTTAAGTGCTATGTTTGATTTTTCTGTAAAAAATTCACCTTTGATATAAATCCAGTAAATCAAATATTACCCAATGGTGAAACCTATACCATAGAGGAAACGCTAAGACCAAAAGGTCCCGAAGAAACGTGTTCAACTTTTTGCCTAATCGATGCACCCCTCGAAACATAGAAAAATCCAAGAGCCCCTTATTTTAGCTGTTAAACTTGCATAGATAATCAAAACAAACATAGTGTAGTACAAGAATTTCGACTAGAATGGGGTACGCTTATAGATTTACTTGGGACCAATAGCCAAGTAGTGAGCCAATTTAAAATCGTTAGTTTCCACCGGTTGCCTATACTGAGACACCCTGTACACTCAAAAATATTAGTATAGGCAAACAGACATAACACATTGAATTTTTTTTATATCTTTATTAAGGAGACTTTCAGCCCTGGGCTGGTACGTCTCCTCACACACATTGAATCTTTTTCACTATAAAACATCGTCGCTTAAACACTACCGCCATCTGTTGAGTAAACTGTAATGGGCAGTACGTTGAACAGATGGCGGAAGTGTGTAAACGTCAAACGCAAGGGTTTTGACTATGCGCGTTACAGGTGGCGGTAACGTACAGGTAACTCTAAGACCAGAAGGTCCCGAAGAAACGAGCTCAACTTTTTGGCTCAACTCTGGTACTATCTTCGGTCCCAAGCTAATCGATGCACCCCTCGAGGGAAATCTGAAGGGTGACCAACTTCATAAATTAGCTGAATTGTAAATATACATTCCAGAAAAAAATACAAAAAAAAACCGTAAATATGCACACGGTGAAACTAAAATACCCCAATGAAAATACTCAAAAATACATCGAAAATACTTTGCACATGAAAAATACACTAAATAATGAATTTAATACACTATAATACAAACATACAAAAAACTTAAAAATAAATAAATATGAAAAAATACAAAATGCATCTTTTCAAGTCGGGTAGATGAATGGAAAACACTCAAGTTGATAGTCCCTCGGGAAAATCCACGAACCCCTCATTTTATCTGTCAAACTTTCATAACGAATCAAAACAAACATAGAGTAGTACTGGAATTTATACTAGAATAGTGTACGTTAATCGATTTGCTTGGGACCAATTAGCTAGTTAAGTAGTGAGCCAATTTAAAACCGTCCCATGCAACCAAAAGTTCGGATAAAAGCCCTTTTTTGGCTTAATCAGCTATTCTAAGGATTATGAAGAGAATTCTATTCGGCTTACTTTTTAAGAAATTAACCGAACTTCCAAGTTCACATTCGACGTTTAAGCTTCTAACAGAATCCTGTTTCATTTTTAAAAAGAACTTGAAAGTTCACAAAAGGTTCCTTTAACCGTTGGAGGGAATGCTATTCAGCCCAAAAAGAAAACTTGAATGAAATCAACAAACCAAAATAGAAAACAAATAAATTTATTATTTTGTTGCCCCCCACGTTCTCTTCTAATTTATTATGAGCTGCTGCGTCGTCGAAAGATAAATATTTGAAATATTGTCAAACATTTAATTTAAATTACATATGTTTAAATTACTTACCGCAAGTCTCGAACTCGAGTTCTCCTCTTTGAAACCGAGATACATACCACTGCTCTATGTGAACGAAGTGGAATATCATATTATTTTACTAGATGTCTTGATTTCATGCATAACAATGTTTTTCAAAGTAGCCAAATCTACTTTCAAGCTCCGTAAGAATTATTTTTGAACTTCAAAGTCTCTGATTAGTTCATGTAGAACCTTATTTGAACTTGAAAGTTGCTAAAAAGTTAATACGGAACTTATTGTGAACTTGCACCGTTTTACATTTGACAGCTTGTTTTGTTTTCCGCAGAAGTTTTCAGTAACCTCGAAAAGTACGAAACAATTTTACTTAATTGTAGTAAATTTACCTGTTTTATTCAGAAAATCATAGGTATGGTAGTGGAACGCAAACCTTAATGAAATGTATTAAAATACAATATATTTTTTACTAACAGAAATGCCATTCGCTGTAGTAGAAACATTGAACGCTCGAGGCTGTAAGGAGCTTTCGGTCGTTCCAGACGAGTATACCCGATGGATATTTTGGTTTGTGTGGACGTGCCTTGAATTCCAAAAAATCAACGAGAGAAGTCATTGTTTACATAGGCTGTTTCGCCCTAATTCCAGCTCTATCTAGAATTCTTCTTCTGATGTAAACAAACGGTTTGGTTGACGTTTCCTCTCGAACTCGCGAGGTGCCATCTGCGTTAGTGGTACATTAAAAAGGCCTATCCAGCAACTTGCTAGAAATTTTGCTTAAAAATATGGGTGCTTGCATACAATAGTTGGAATATTTCATTAATTGTCTACACTCTATCATTATAGACCCATTAATGAGTATAATTTCACCCATTTAAAAGTAAAGTAGGTCCAGTGTTCACTCGGCTGTCGACAAAAGCAGGCCACTCTCGATGTGTGCTACGCGATCGTCTGTTTTCTCGGCAGCAACCATTGTGTGGTCCTCCTCATTGTTCTTCATCAGCAGTTCTTTCGGTCGATGCGTCGTCGACTTTGGAAAGCAACCGTTTCGTGATGAGTGTGTGAGTGCTGACCACGTTTTGCGTCCATTGCTGCAATGGACGCACTTTGACCCTCGTTGGCGTACAACAATTTGCCATACAATGAACCTACTGGAAGCGGCTCCAGTTCTGATGGAGGAGGCTTTTTGGATAGCGGAAGATAAAGTGTTTATTGTGTTGTACCTTTTGACTATAGTTTTAAGATGTATTGTATAGTGACCAAGAATCCTCGGCTCTGTAAAGTTAATTCGGTTGAGCCTTATCAAATAAATTAATAAGCAAAAAAAAAAAAAAAAAAGTAAAGTAGGTTAACCCATTTAAATGGGTAAACAATAACGTAACGTTTACCCACTAATCGGTAACAATTACTCGTTTATGGATATTAGATACCCATTAATGGGTAATTTGTTTACCCATTATAAATTTCCAGTTACAGTGTATAACGTAAACATGTATGATATTTGACGCTCCACTTATGTGCATCATAGTAACGGAAATTTACAATTCACACGCTATGAGTCTCAGTTCTCAGTCGCTAAGTTGGTATGATTGACCGTGAACACTACTTTTTCAAACTGTGTAGACTGAGAAAAAATTTCGTAAATTTTTCTCATTTGCCGGGAGATTTTTAAGGGTTTTCACAGGAAAACATGAGACAAAATCGCTGAGTTCCTACACTTTTGACGATTATGAGTGAACTAAACTTATAACTCAAATTTGGCTCCTTCTTATTGACCGTGGAGATCTTTGAGGAAAAGCGCGAGGAAAAGTGAGGAAATTTAACTCAGTCTATGGGTAATTTGTTTGGTTTGGTTTCGATCGTTTAAACATTTATTCACAACACGCTATTTTAAACTCCCCAAATTTGGGAACAATCCATGCAGATGATCAAAACTGAACTTACCCAAAAATGGGTAAACTATGATGGGAGTGACAAGTTGACAAATGAACAAAGTCGAACGGATTCATGTTGTCCATTTGTCAACTTGTCACTCCCATCACAGTTTACCTATTTTTGGTTAGGTTCAGTTTTGACCGATCTGAGTGGATTCTACCCAAATTTGGGGAGTTTTGAAAAGCGTGAAAGGGAATAGCATGTAAACAAACCGATTATTCGATACACCACCCCAAAATACTTACTCACCACTAAAACTTGTAGCCACGAAACCAACCAATGTATGCTGAAAACGGTGTAAACATTTTGTGATGTGATATCATTTTGTGGGTGTTAATCTATATTAATATTTATAAATATTAATAAAATTGTATCAATTAGATACAATATTACCATACAAGATCAATAACATTCTTGCTGTGTTAGTTTTTGCGATTTTGAGGGAAAAACCTCTCAATTTTGAGTAGATCTTATCGTCCGTGAACTGCAGCAAGAGCGAGCACTTTTCGTGTTAGTTAGTTATGCTCTCCATCAGATGGCACGTCAGTGCAAAGCACGGAGGGAAAAAGGGTGATCAAAAAATGAAAAAATCATATTTATTGAACCATAGTTTTATTTAGATCAATCACTTTTTCAAATAGGTTTCAAATATATCTTACATCGTAACAGTGAGCTTAACTTAACCTACTACCTGCTATAGCTTCATGTTGTGTGTTGTAGTCTTTCTCAAAACGTCCTGTCCTGTTTCCTTTCGCCTAGATTTATTAAATATTTTACATCTTTTTTTGTGTTTGTTTGTTTATTTGTGTAAACAGCCCTCAAGCGGAGATCCACTTCCCCGTTAACCTAATGTTCACAGACTTTTTATACGATAAAAGCATTGTATAAAATACTAGGAACATTACAGTTCATGAGTTCAGCATCTGGTTTAGAATTTAAAGCTTTTTTATTCATTTGTTCTTGCTCAAAGCAATTCCGCTGGATGGCAAATGGAAGACATTAGCTTCGAATTTTAGATTTTAGTGTGTATAATTTCATGTGTTGCACATATTTCCAATTTCAATCGCATTGTAGGTTTGTAATTTGGTTTTGTTCGATATGGTCTCTTTCTGTCTGACAGATTGAGCTGCTCAATTTTGTGTCTTTCAAAGTTTCGAGAAATCTTTCTTCAGGTTTTCTTTTTTTATTGTTTTCTGTTTTCACTAGCACTTGCAGTTATAAATCTAAGAAACTCGTTTTGTCTTATGGTAAAAAAAATATTAGAGATAGGTTCAAAATCACAATAGTTTCGGTTCTACATCTAAATAACTCTGCCATCATAGCGTTAGGTCTAATGAAATTCTCTTCTATGGGCAATTTAAATATGTTTAAATATGGTTTCGATGAACGCATGCTATTGAAGGAAAACCAAAAACGATTCCGAATCTGATTCGAAGAACAATTCAACAAACTACGTTAGTCTAGCAATTTTGAATAAACCTTTAGAGAACAAATAATAAATTAACGCTTCCCACAAAGGAAGCACAACTGGGTAGAAGTGACACGTGCATTTGATACCCCCGAATTGTCCAGCTGTCGAAACTGGGTTCAGAGTTTGCGTGCTCGACCGGACTCGAGAACCAGTTTCGCGTGGGTTCTGTTTCCCGGGGTCACACCCCGGGAGAAAAGGGGAGGAAATTCGGGACACCACCACGTGCACTTCCGATCCTATACTGCGCACACTTCCATCCCGCTGTGCCCGATTCAATGCTACAATCGTGGGGTGGGATTCGGAAGTACGCCCAATATGCCCTAGGGGCCAAGTCTTGTTGTGTTTGTTATGCTGTTTATACTTCCTCCAGATGCCGCGAGAACTCCTCGATACTGACGTAGGTACCGGTGATGAAACCAACCACGCCGAACAGGATCAGGAAGATGTTCTTCCACAGGACCCAGTTGAAGCGTCCGTAGCCGGGTTTCTCGTAGAAGGTGACCAGTTCGATGACGGCCGGGAACATCATGCCGAGGGTGCTGAGGCAGACGGCGCCGATCAGCGTGACGAATGGACCGATGTTGGGTAGGGCAGCAGCGATGATCACAGTGATGGTCTGGAAAGAGGGACGGAATGGTACGGTGTGGATTAGTTACTTAGTCTTTTCCGTCGGAAATACAGGGGATAGACAAAACGATCGGGACAGGCAAAATGCTGTCAAAATTCAAATGGCATTACATTTTCGAAAAATAAACCATTTTTGATGAAACCAGATGCATTTGACGGGGAAGTTATAGGAGATATTATAAATCGGAGATTTTCTGGATTTTTGGGAGGTATGCCCACACTGATTTTTTTAATCGCTTGTATTTTTTTTGGTGTGAAAATTTGATTGAATTCATATTTTTCCTGATACTAGAAGCAATTCTGAATTCAATGCTGGCCACAGATCCAAGATCTGCTGAGAAACAACCGAGATCTGGTCAGTTCCTAGAAATCGGTTCCAGTGAAGTGACCAGCAATGTTAATCTTTTGGATATCAATCCTCATGATTTTTCAGCACGATGTCTTCAGAATCTTTTTCAGCGTCCCGAATTGCTGGATCTGGATCTGGGTTCCCCAGAGGAAATGGTTAATTTGGGACATGGCCGGAACCATATCAATATGGGTGTCAAACTTCAAGATTTTGCAAGCCGACACCAATGGCAGATATATCAGGCAAACAACCTGCCATCGTTACTCTGCAGCAGGTTTTGGATGCCAATTTGGGGCAGTAATTTATCGGAACCGATTTCAAAGAAATCGTTTCTTGGCAAATGTTGGATCTGTGGCCAGCATTGAATTCAGAATTGCTTCTAGTATAAGGAAAAATATGAAGTCAAATAAATTCTCATACTTAAAAAAAAATACAAGTCCCAAACATCTGGAACAACTCCGGTGTCCACTGGACACCTCTAATTTTCAAATGATTTAATGCATCCGTATTCATCAAGATTTGTTTAGATTTCAAAAATTGAATGCCATTTGAATTTTGACAAAATTTTGCCTGTCCCGATCATTTAGTCTATCCCCTGTTTGTCTGTTTAGTTCCAAAAAATGCTCATCCATGCGCATTCGAAAATGCTAAATTTCAATCAACGTTTCTCTTCTGTTTTAACTGGAACCGCTTCTCAGAAATTCTTCGGAATTCTTCTTAGAAATCCATTGGAATTTTCTTCTAGATTTTCCTTAGACTTTCCTAAGAATTTAATTCAAATTGTGCTTTGTTTTAGTGAAGTTCTCCTCAACATATGATCTTTTTGATATTTGGCCAGAATTTATTTGAAATTCGTATCTAAATCTCCTTCAGTATTCGTTTCAAATTACCGGCAGATCACCCTTTAAATTCTGTTTAGAATTTTTTATTTAATTTCTACCAAAATCTTGTATCCCCATCAAGATCAGAAACACCAAAGAACTCAATTCAGAGCTTCTTTTCTTCTGCCCAGAAATACCTTGGAATTCATGTTTGAATTTCTTAGGACTACATCTCAAAATTTGGAATGCTGGTCATAGCTCCCTTAGATTTTTTCCCGGGCTTTTTTAGGAATCCCTTTTTAATAAACCTCACATATCCATAGGTTTTCTTGGCAGGCAACTAAAGGGTGATACGGTCAAAATTTGGTCAATATCAACTTGACGTATTTCTTTCAATTTTGCATTTAAAAAACCTGAACACCCCTCATTTTGAAGGTGTGTGTGTGTAGAATGTTGCTCCTATTTTGATTTTGGAATTCACTCTTCAGTTGTCAAAATGCCGTCCAAGCAAGAAGAGCAGCGTATCAAAATTTTGCTCGCGCATCGCGAAAATCCGAGCTACTCGCACGCAAAGTTGGCAAAATCGCTAAAAGTTGCCAAATCAATCGTTACAAATGTAATTAAAGTGTTTGGGGAACGTTTGTCGACAGCCAGGAAGTCTGGATCGGGGGGAAATCGAAAACCGGAAGCCGCTGAGACGACAAAGAGAGTTGCCGGTAGTTTCAAGCGAAACCCTAACCTCTCTCTCCGAGATGCCGCAAATAAGCTGGGTGTATCGTCTACAACCGTGCATCGAGCCAAAAAACGAGCCGGACTATCGACTTACAAGAAGGTAGTGACTCCAAATCGCGATGATAAACAAAATACGACGGCCAAAGCGCGATCCCGGAGGCTGTACACGACGATGCTGACGAAGTTTGACTGCGTGGTAATGGACGACGAAACCTACGTCAAAGCCGACTACAAGCAGCTTCCGGGACAGGAGTTTTATACGGCAAAAGGAAGGGGAAAGGTAGCAGATGTTTTCAAGCACATGAAACTGTCAAAGTTCGCAAAGAAATATCTGGTTTGGCAAGCCATCTGTACCTGTGGTTTGAAAAGCAGCATTTTCATAGCTTCCGGGACTGTCAACCAAGAAATTTACGTGAAAGAGTGTTTGAATAAACGTCTGCTGCCTTTCCTGAAGAAACACGGTTGTTCCGTACTGTTTTGGCCGGATTTGGCATCTTGCCATTACGGTAAAAAGGCCATGGAGTGGTACGCCGCCAACAACGTGCAGGTGGTTCCCAAGGACAAGAACCCTCCCAACACGCCAGAGCTCCACCCAATTGAGAAATACTGGGCTATTGTCAAGCGGAACCTAAAGAAGACCAAAAAAACTGCTAAGGGCGAGCAGCAGTTCAAGGCAAACTGGCTTTCTGCGGCGAAGAAGGTGGACAAGGTGGCTGTACAAAATCTGATGGCAGGGGTCAAGCGTAAGGCCCGGCAATTCGGATTTGGAAAAGCGGAAGCCTAACTGAATATTTTTCCTGAATTTTATACTAATTGAACTTGAAAAAGAAATTTAATTTGATTTTTTAAATAAACGATTTCACCGATTTACACGCGTTTTCCCTTGACCAAATTTTGACCGTATCACCCTTTATAAGCAATCTTTAAATTGTTAGATCCCTGAAAGTTCTTTCAAGTTTCAAAGCATTGTAAATTTGTCAGGGTGGAGTCTAGGATCATGGATTTTGTTTTCATGATTGATTGAAAATTTTCTTAATTCCAAATTGGAAAAATAATATTTTATGTTATTGTTTTTTTAAAATCTCGAATCACGAAGGTTTTTGTAATTCAGAAATCTCAAAAATCTGTCGTACTCTAAGATTATAAACAAATGTTGAAACCAGTCTTGGAAATTTTCTTAAATCCGTTTCGTTCATTGCTGAACATATGCAACCGGGAAATTTTTAAAATTTGCGCTGGGAAAAACATCGATTTCAGTTTCCAAAAGCAGTGTTCGACCAATGAATTGTGCAACTAAAAGTGCTACTTGAATGAACAAGCCGAGTCCCCTCGCCAGAGCTTCTCCAGAGATAGTCACTATTCCCAAATTTTACTTACCACCATTCCAATTCGAATTGCATATTCAGCTGCATTCTTGTGCTCGCTAAAGTTATGCTGCACGTTCTTCCAGACGATTTCCATCGGGACGTAAAACTGCAGCGAGTAGGTCAAGAAGATGGCAACAGCAATCATAAGTTTCACCAATTGGGCCAAGCTGTAAAGAAGAGCCGTTCATTAGAATCGCTCGAACGGGGACAACCCTCAACCACCAAGTACTCACATATCTTCCACCGGCAAATTCAGCGTCACACTGCCCTTCGTCTCTTCACCGTACTTCAGATATCCGAGGAAACCGACAGCGGCATACAGGGCAACAACGACCACCATTCCGATGTTCAGCACTCCGGGGCATCCGATAAAGTGTTGCGGTGTCTTCATGTTGTTCTCCAGCGACATCACTACACCGATTCCTTCCAGGGCGAAGATCACCGTTCCGAAGAACATGGGCATGTGGTGCACATCGGCAATGGCCTTGCGGTCCGAGAATGCAGGCAGATCCGTCATAACGTAGTACAGCGTGATACCGACGCCCGCTCCAATGAGAATGTTTGCGATCATCGAGAACGGTGTGAGGTATTTCAGTTTCCTGTGAAAATAGTGGAAATGTTAGCTCGATCGGTTCGTTTGGTTTTCAACTTCAGAACATCCTACCTAATCAAGTTGATTAAAATCAGGGGGAACAACGTCAGCACAATGTAATACCGCACATCATAATGGCTGTGGGTGTAGTAGTCCACCACTTGCTTGACGTTGGTCGCGACGAACACGATGTAGATGCAGCAGCATCCCATCAGATCCAGTACCAGGAACAGATTGATAATGAACCGTGCCAGTCGCGAGTACTTTTTCACTCCTTCGGGTCCAGCAAGGAAAGCCGTTTCTGCCACATCGGCAAAGCCTAGCGAGGGAATCTGCGCTCTCCGGCAGAGGATGTGCGAACACTTAACTAGAATGTGAATACAGTAGGTACAGATGGCACCGACGGCCAGGGTAGCTCCCAGTCCAAACCATAGACCGGCATGCAGGAAGGCCAACGGCATCGCCAGGATTCCCGAGCCGAGGGAACCTTTGAGCAGATGGACCAGGGTCTCCGTGTCCGAGGTGGGATGCGATAGCTTCCGGTTTTCGAACGGATTGTACGATCCGGCTTCTTCGTCCTCACGGGGCATTCCGACCAGGGGCAGCGTGGACCCGGCAACCGTCTGGGCCGCCACGTCCGACATGCTGTCTTTCATGTTGCCGAAGATGTAGTTGCTCACTTCGGACTTGCTCGAACCGGTCCATTGCGGTCGAATGGGCTGTCGAAAGGAAAAGATAAAAATAAAATCATTAGTTTTGAAAAGTTAATTTTGGGTGACAACGTGTTAATTTTTTTGACTAGCGCGCAATGCGCAATTGTTGGAATCGGTGTTTCGTGGGACGCCACGTGTTGAGCAAATGGGATAGCGAAATCGATAGATGCAACTGCCGGTTACTGGTTTTCTACAAGCTTGCTGCACTGGTTTTCGCAAGCGCCACTTGCAGTGGGTATTAAATATACAATTATCCAGTGGAATGGGATTTACAATTGTTGCACCTGCTACCGCACTAACTTGGGGCTAGAATTTCCTGCGGGGAATTTTGTGTTTGTAGTGGTTGAAGCAAGTCGCAAGCAAGTAATTTAATCCAATGTCAATCGATTCAGATTGGATTAACTTGATTGAATTTTGTTTTCATTGTTTTTTTTTATAAATAGGATTACATATTTCAATTGATAAGGCACATCAACTCATGGACCGGGGACTAACGGTTTTACTTCCCTTTCGAAGGAAGGCATGATAAGAGATTTTATGCCTCAGAAAATTCCGACGGTGTCGACTTTTTGAGAATTTTGTTGAATTGTGAAAATTTAATTTTGTGTCATTTAACTTTGTATGTATTATATTTATTTGCATATATTTTTTTTGTGTAAAATTATTTTGTGATTATTTAACGATACTAAACCGCAGGAGTAAAATAATGCGTCTAACTCAAATTATTTCAAGACTTCATCGATTTCTACTATGAAAATTTAATTGTGGAATAGTTGTTAATAAATTTACGTTTAAACTGTGCAATCTATTACATTTCACTTGGTATTAAAAGGGGTTGTAGCCATCTTCAGTTTAAATGAAAATTGGAAATGCTTTTGGGATTCTCCGGGATCCCTCCATAATATTCTCTGGAATACTCTGAAATCGCTCCTGAAGTTCTTCGAAGTCCTTGTTTTGTTTCTGTGAAATCTCCGCTAGGATCCTCTGCCTAAATTCTACGGAATCCCTCTTGCTATTCTGTGGAGTTCCTTCGTGCTTCTCCAGAATTTTTGTCGAGATTACTCTGTCCCTTTAATGATTGTCCGAAATATCTCCCACAATACTCTGAATTCAGTCCCCAACAAACATTGGAAGCAGAATAAGAGCTTATTCAGGCAAAAATATGCTTCTTCAGCTAAAACATTGCTTGTTAAGCCTTTATTCAGCACAAATGGTTTGTTGGGTCTGGTGTTTTCTGAAATTATTCCAGAGAATTTATAGAGAAGGATTCCAAAGAATCGCAATAGGGTTTCTCAAAATCATGCTTGTCAACATTATGTCTAGTATCCCCTTAGAATTTTCCTTATGTCGCATCCATTATTCTCTCCAGAAGTTTCTTGGAATCCACTCTACAATTCTCTTCCATTTCTAAATCATTATTGCAGGAATTTGCTTACATTTTTCGTCATAACTCTCTTTGATATTCCATCAGAATAAACCTATCAATTTAATAAACATACATGCATATTTGCCTCAGACCATTACTCATAATGACCGTAGAATTCTCCTCAGAATTCTTCAGAAAATTCTTTTCTTAGAATTTTCTAAGTATTCCTCCAAAATTTGCGTGAAATTTTCAACAAAATTACCTAGATATTCTCTTCAGTATCCTTTGAGTAATATTCCAACATTCCCTTCAAATACCACTAGAAGTTCTATGATATTATCATTAGAATTCCCGTTGAATCTTCCTAGTATTTGCCTTGAGACTGTCCTCAGAATTGTTAGTCTACTTTGGAATAATCCTCAGGTTGAATTTCCCATTCAACTCAATTATTTAAATCATATTGTTGCGCCCAAAGCTTTAACTACAGACAAACAGACGTAACACTTCATTGTGTATCTTCGTTTGGTTGATTTGAATATTATCATTTCCGCGAACTACTCGCCGCAGCGCTGGCATCGGATCACTTTGATGTTTCTATCCAGCCTTCCATGCTCGGTAATGGCGGCCTGTTTGTATGAATAAATATATCCTTCGCTGTGCAATTTGACACTTACTGGAGGGCGTATGTTGTTCCATTTTCTTCTGTTCTTGGGAGAGGGAAAGGGAGGGTTCAAAACCCGAGCATCCAGATAGTGTCAAAAAGCACATTGAAGGATACATTTATTCATACAAATAGGCCGCCATTACCGAGCATGGAAAGCTGAATACATTCTATAGAACTTTTATGCAATATTAGTTTCGAGTTAGCAAGCAAGCTTGTTTTCCGCAAGAAGCCCGAGAGATGTCGTTACTGAGGTCCTATGTTTTGAGATACTATGTTTTCAAGAAAAACTTTTTCAAAGAGTTACGTTTGTTTGTCTGTGATTTTACGGTGTAATGTAGTTGGTATCAGGTAGCCGAGCCCTGTTAATTGACAGATGCGAGTTGCGCTTGCACCGACACAAGCGCGCACTAGCAGCAGAGTAAAGGCCGCACAATGGATAAGTTTTCAGGTTTTTTGACAGTGAGCCCATGCATTATCTCTCAAAAAACCCGGAAACTTATACATTGTGCGTCAGCCTTAAAAGCGGGTTGGATCATACACATAAAAAAAAAATCTTAATTTTAACTATCGCGTAAAATTTCCCTTCGTTTAATTTTGAGCTATACTTGGCAGAAACAGCGAAATTTATGTCAAATCTAGCGTTAATTTTATGTGTGCTATATCTCGCAGAAATTTACATGAATTTTTCAAACGGTTTAGCTAAGAGAAGAGGTGACAATACGGGGGCGAAAATGAACCACATTTCTGTCGAACGTGAACCAGCTCCTGATTGGCCGATTTCATGTGCGTAAGATAGAGATAGAGATAGATAAAGATAGAGATAGAGGTATAAATAAAAGAGGAAGAAGCCAATTGTCACCTTTTCCTCTTAGGATCATAGCACAACCTTTTGTTTCTCGGAAGATATTAGTGAAAGAAATTGAAAATTCGGTTGGGTTTTAAACGTGCGTGGATCCGGAAAAATATAAAGACACAACGTAGGGCCTGGTCACCCCTCGACGGTACACATATTAATGCCTTCGGAACATGTCGCAGTACTCCTTTAGAACTCGGATCAGATTTTGTTTTGAATTACCTCAAAATAACGATTTAAGTGTCCTTAAAGTTCTTGTAAATTTTACCTCAACATTTCATTTGAATTTTTAAAATATATTCTGTTGAAATTTACCGTAGAATTCTCCTGGACTTCTAATCTCAATCAGCATGAAATGCTCGTCGGATATTCCGAGTAGTAATACCTCGGAATTCAAGTTATAAAAACTAATGTTAGTCTCTTCAGCAATCTCCAAGTAATCTTCCCTTGAATAGCACAGATACGTACTCAGGATATTTTTTTCACGTATGCTAGACCAATCACAAGGTCCTGAGCATCAAGATTCTCATCAACGGCAAACCGGTCCCATTCCATAAAACCATTCGAATCCTCGGAGTCTGCTTCGACTGTCACCTCACTTCAACCCGCACTTCAAAGCAGTTTTAAACAGCAAATCAACCTGCTGAAAACTCTGGCTGGGCGCCACCCAAATGCCAACCGGCAGACCCGTCTGAACGTCGCAAAAGCTATCATAAACTCACGCCTAACATACGGGATTGAAGCAACCTACCTCACAATGCCCCTGCTAGTGGAAAAACTTGCACCTGTCTACCAGCAAGCCTTACGATTACCATCGTAAGCTGCCTGTATCGAGGGCAGAGTGCTCACCTTCAACAGGTACATAACCAAAACAATCTGCCATCGAGCCATCAGCCACTGTGAAAACAGGTCCGGTAGCAGGAAGGAAGGTTTCCTCCTCGTTGAGGCTAACCAACTCCTCAGAGAATCATCCAACCAAGTACTCCCACCGGTGTCCAGGGTCCACTGGTGTGGAGCCTGCCAAAAATTCAAACCGATCGTACAATCAAAGCCAAGTTTAAAATAGGTTCCAACCCTTTAGCAGTGACACAAACGGTCCTAGACCTTCAAAAACGAAAATACGAAGGATACTCAATTAGATACACAGATGGCTCGGTCGCCCAGGGGAAGGTGGGGATCGGAATCTCAGCGAATGTCACCGACTGCCAGCCCAGTGTTCGATATTCTCCGCCGAAGCCGCCGCGGCTTTCATCGCTGCCACCACCTTCGATGAACGACCGATAGCCATCTTCACCGACTCCGCCAGCGTGGTTGCTGCTCTTGAGTCCGAAACGAGTAGACACCCCTGGATCTAGGCGATCCAGGAACATGCACCAAATAACACAACATTCGTTTGGATCCCAGGGCACTGTGGTGCTCGGGGGAAAGTAGAGGCGGACCATCTAGCACCCTCTGGTCGGCACATGGCCAAATATACGCGAGAGGTCCCAGGACCTGATCTAAAAAAAAATGGGTAACCAAAATTATTGAGGATTCCTGGAGCCGCGACTGGATAGCAGCTAGAACACCAGCTATTCGAAAATTAAAACAGAATATTACTAGATGGGACGATCCATCGCTGCACCGGGAGCAGGTCGTGATATTCCGTCTCCGAACTGGCCATACAAACATCTCCCACAACTACAAGGGAGATGGGCCTTTTAGAAGGATAAGCGATCTATGCCTCACGCCGGAAACTGTGGAACACTTCATCTGTCATTGTCCAAAGTATGAAGGAGCTAGAACATGCTACGACATTCCCGAAAATATCCGCGATGCTCTAGGTAATGAGCCAACAAGCGGCCCTACTCGCCTTTTTACGTGAAGCCGGACTCTTCAACCAGATATAACACTTAAAATACCTGTCATGACCAACCGCAACGTTAGAGATGAACTAGCTTAAGGCTAAAAATCTCTTTAATAAAAAAAAAAAAAAAAAAACCAACCGCAACGAACAAGGAAAGCTAAGGAGCGAAAATATCACCACGACCCGAACAAACACAAACCCTTTATACACCAGACCTAACGCAACGTAAACGGACCAACCGGAATGCCATGGGAAGGTGGTTAGTAGTTGTTAGATT